TTTGAACAACAAAGGGCGATTAATCAAGTCCAACAAAGGGTTTTACAACAAGCATTACAAGGAGCTCTGGGAACTCTGAATAGGTGCTTAAACAACGAGTTACATTTACGTATGATCGCTGCTAATATTGGTATGTTTGGGGCGATCAAAGAAAAAAATAACTAATTAGTGGTTCTACTATAATAGAGAGTATGGAGAGGCCCTATTTTTGTTTTTTTTCGAAAAAGAATCCAATTAATAAAAATATTCATGGTACCCATTCGTGCAGATGAAATTAGTCAAATTATCCGTGAACGGATTGAGCAATATAATACCGAAGTAAAAATTGTAAATACAGGTACCGTACTTCAAGTAGGCGATGGCATTGCTCGTATTTATGGTCTTGATGAAGTAATGGCAGGTGAATTAGTAGAATTTAAAGAGGGTACAGTAGGCATTGCTTTGAATTTGGAATCCAAAAATGTTGGTGTTGTATTAATGGGTGATGGTTTGATGATACAAGAGGGAAGTTCCGTAAAAGCAACAGGAATAATTGCTCAGATACCAGTAAGTGAGGGTTATTTGGGTCGTGTTGTAAATGCCCTAGCTAAACCTATTGACGGTCGAGGAGAAATTTCAGCTTCGGAATCTCGGTTAATTGAATCTCCCGCTCCCGGTATTATTTCCAGACGTTCCGTGTATGAGCCTCTTCAAACGGGACTTATTGCTATTGATTCTATGATCCCTATAGGGCGTGGCCAGCGAGAATTGATTATTGGGGACAGACAAACAGGTAAAACAGCAGTAGCTACAGATACGATTCTCAATCAACAGGGACAAAATGTAGTATGTGTTTATGTAGCTATTGGTCAAAAAGCATCTTCTGTGGCTCAAGTAGTAACTACTTTACAAGAAAGAGGAGCAATGGAATACACTATTATAGTGGCTGAAACAGCAAATTCCCCAGCTACATTACAATACCTCGCGCCTTATACAGGCGCAGCTCTGGCTGAATATTTTATGTACCGTGAACGTCACACTTTAATCATTTATGATGATCCCTCCAAACAAGCACAGGCTTATCGCCAAATGTCTCTTCTATTACGAAGACCACCAGGTCGCGAAGCTTATCCCGGAGATGTTTTTTATTTACATTCGCGTCTTTTGGAAAGAGCCGCGAAATTAAGTTGTCAGTTAGGTGAAGGAAGTATGACTGCTTTACCAATAGTTGAGACCCAAGCCGGAGATGTTTCAGCTTATATTCCTACGAATGTCATTTCCATTACAGATGGTCAAATATTCTTATCTGCCGATTTATTCAATGCTGGGATCAGACCCGCAATTAATGTGGGTCTTTCCGTTTCCAGAGTTGGATCGGCGGCTCAAATAAAAGCCATGAAACAAGTCGCTGGTAAATTAAAATTGGAATTAGCACAATTCGCAGAATTAGAAGCTTTTGCACAATTCTCTACCGATCTTGAGAAAACTACGCAAAATCAATTGGCAAGAGGTCAACGATTGCGCGAGTTGCTTAAACAATCCCAATCATCTCCTATTACTGTGGAAGAACAGATAATAACTATTTATACTGGAACGAATAGTTATCTTGATTCATTAGAAATTCAACAGGTAAGGAAATTTCTCGTTAAGTTACGGGCTTATTTAAAAACGAATAAACCGAAATTCAACGAAATCATATCTTCGACCAAGACATTTACTGGGGAAGCAGAAGCCATTTTGAAGGAAGCTATTCAGGAACAGATGGAACTCTTTTTACTTCAGGAACAAGTAGAAAAAAATTGATTCCAAATTTCATACCTTTCTAGATAATTAGTCTCTTTCCATATTTCAAAAAGAATAATAAAGAGAAGAAATTCACAATATAGTTTTCGAAATATACGAATTCAAGTAATATATATGCAATTGCAATAAATTCAATATGTAATAAATTTGCGTCCAATAGGATTCGAACCTATACCAAAGGTTTAGAAGACCTCTGTCCTATCCATTAGACAATGGACGCTTTTCTTTTTTTCTTTCCCTTTTCACGAAAATTTCGTGAAAAGGGAAAGAAAAAAAAGAATTCTATAAAATACTCCTCCATCTATCTGAATATCGAAATAATAATTATTCTAAATTCTAAATAGAATAAGACGAAATGAAATCATTCCAATTGAATATTCATAACTAAAACTAACTAAAGAAATTTACTAAATAAAAAATAGAATAGAATATATAGAGAAATAGAATATAAGCGGGTAGCGGGAATCGAACCCGCATCATTAGCTTGGAAGGCTAAGGGTTATAGTCGACGTTTATGAATGAACGTCTCTAATTCAAAACCGAACGTGAAACTTTTGTTTCATTCAGCTCCTTTACAGAATAATTTTAGAGATAGATGGAATACATGAAAAAAAAATGACCCATAACATCTATGTCAGCCTTTCGGTATGAATAGAATTCACGTTGCTTTTTAGATGATCCCTATAGAAAGAAAAGGAGTATTTGAACAATCTCTTTTTTTTCTAGTTACTTCGTTCTCTATTTCTATTTGATAGAATCTTTAGGAAAAGAATAAAATTTCCGTCGAGCTAAAAAAATATATTGATGTTTCTAGTAAACTAAAAAAATCGTTTAATAGCTATTTTGCTTCACTCTCTCCTATACAAAAAAAATAAAAAAAAATGGGAAGATTTAGTTACGATTGGAAACTAATTTTAGATATCTTTCTCCCTGGATCCTTTACTTATATTCAAAAATTGGGATTCTTGTGCAAAAACTTATGTTTCATAATTTTAGAATAAATTCTAAATTGTATACAAATTACGATAATGTATATTATTCCTCGAATTGCTCGTTGAGAGGTATAAAGGATGAAATCCCTAAAAGTAAGAAATAAAGTTTTTGATCGTGATATGAATCACGAAAGGGACCCCTTAACTATTAAGGGATCGTTAGAACGAATCGCACTTTTACCACTAAACTATACCCGCTACAATACCATTTTTGTATATAAAAAGATCTTTTGTCGAACAAGGGAATCAGTCATAAATAATTCTGAAATAGGTGCAGAATTTTATGATAAATAGAGTGTTTACATGTTTCGTAAAGGCCCCCTAATGAAATTTAGAAAAGGGGGCAAATCTCATTTTTGGATTTTATTTTTGGATTTTGTTGAAGGTATTTTGACAGATAGATCTCGACAAAATTACTAAACTAAATTCATAACACAAAAATGCATTATGCAATGCAAGAATCCATAGTTCTATTTCGTTTTTTAGATACGTTACCTGATTCATTCGTATGAGATACGATCACAAAGTTATTTTTATTTTTGTTTGATCATATTAAAATGTTTAAATTAATTAAAAGTTTGTTTCAAATCTGATACAGAAAAATAAATCGTTGTTATCCAGGATTCATGGGAAAAAAGAGCTGTGCCAGTACCTAGCTGGACTCTGGTTGGATAAAAAAACAAACTAAAAAAGAAAATATAAAATTATAGATTTAGATTATCTATTTAGTATAATGATTTATATCTATTTAGTATAATTATTTATTACTATCGTATTTAGTATATATATATACAATTAATATATAACTCAATCTATATTTATGAGTTAATATAGAATTAGAATCAAATAGAAAAAAGATAGATAAAATATATCAAATGAAGATCCATATCAAATAAATATTGAAGCCTTTTTTCGAGCCCTGCGAGGTATCATAAGCATAATAATTCCATTCTTTGAATTGGGGAGAGATGGCTGAGTGGACTAAAGCGTCGGATTGCTAATCCGTTGTACGCATTTTTGTACCGAGGGTTCGAATCCCTCTCTTTCCGTTTATTGATGATTTGCCATTTTTTTCTTTTGAACTTATGGAATTTCTTTTTTTTTATTCCCTATTTGTTTCATTTTTTACTAGTTCTTTTTGACTAGTTAAAGATCGAAAATAGATAGAAAAACAAAAAATAGTTCAAAATCAAGCACAAGTAAGGGAAAGAAAAAAGATTTTCTTATTCTTCACGTCCAGGATTACGTCCGGGATCATTAGATAGAAATCCGAAGATGAAAAGAGAAACAAAGAATATCACTATCGTGTAAACAAATAGTTTTAGAGTAAGCATTACAAAATCTCCAAGATAATTAAAAAAAAAAAACGACAGAGAAAGAGAATAGATTCTCTTCTATTTCATATTATGTTTCCTTAAAAAAGTTCCAATTTGAGTTTTCTAATAAATTCTTACTTTTTTTAGGACATTATTCAAATGAAAGATCTTATCGAAAACTTACAGCAGCTTGCCAAACAAAAGCGAAGAGAAAAAAGAGTAAGGGTATTACTGGCATAAAATCTACAATTGGAGTCAAAAAAGCATAAGCTTCAGGTAATTTCCCCAAGAAAAAACTACTTGAATAAAGGACAGAGTTAATACAGACCAAGCTAAAGATATGAAGCATAAAAAAAAATGTTGTTCTTTAATAAAATGAATTGTATTTTTGCTTTTTTTTTTTTGAATTCTAATTTTTTTATTTTTTATTATCTTACTTATTATTATATATATTCTTATATATATAAGATATGATTTATTATATATATTATTTAATATCCACTTTTTTTTTTATACTTTTATATTAAAAATGAAATCTAAAAGAAAAAAGAAATATGGTCTAACTTGACAAAAGTAAATATCTATATAGAATAACAAATGGGGCGTGGCCAAGTGGTAAGGCAGCGGGTTTTGGTCCCGTTATTCGGAGGTTCGAATCCTCCCGTCCCAGATGATATCGATTCAATTCATCACATTGACATGAATCGATATCATAGGTTTTTCGCCATAAACCAAAAATAAAAAAGGCTGTTCTTGGGTGGGGATATATTGTTCATTCATATAACTTTCAATTACTTATTAATTATTAAATAAATTAATATACGAATTAAAATTAAATTTGATAACTATTCGATAAAAAACAATGACTATTCATTATATAATATTTTAATTTAAAAAGGAATAAAAATCTATGGAAAGACAAGGGTTCAATTCGATGCTGTTTACTAGAGGTATGCTGTTTACTAGAGGTTTAGAATACAGGTGTGGTTTAAGTAAATCAATAGATAGTTTTGGTATAGATAGTTTTGGTCCTATTGATGAAAATAACGGTGGAGACCCATCTAGTTTAACTGATATGCATAATAACATTCATAGCTGGAAGAACAATAGTGAAAATTGTAGTTATAGTCATGGTCATGCTGACTATTCAGCAGATGTGAACAACATACATAATCATAATTTGCTATTTGCAAAAAGTCTATCCGTTTGGGATAGTCATAATAATAGTTATGACATATATTATGCTTATAATGATGATAGTTGGACTTATAACATGAATTGTTGCATTTGGAATTATCTTCGTTCTCAAATCTGGGAGGATATTGACAAATCCAATGCCAGTTACCGTGATATGGACTTTAAGAGTTACATTTGCGATAGGGGCCAAAATACTAGTGAAAGCCATAGTACAAATATAATAATATTAAGGAACACAAATGCTAGAAATCAGACAGCAGATCCAGATGATGCAGATATATCTGATGGATCAGATATATCAGATCCATTGGAGATAGATCTATCTGATCCATCCGATACAGATTATCGATACGATCCATTTGCTGATACATCAGATATATCAGATCCATTGGAGATAGATCTATCTGATCTATCAGATACAGATTATCCATATTATATGGATGGATCTGATATATCAGATCCATTGGAGATGGATCTATCTGATCCATCAGATACAGATTATCCATATTATATAGATGGATCTGATATATCAGATCCATTGGAGATAGATCTATCTGATCTATCAGATACAGAGGAGGATCTATATGGTATATACGATCTAGATGAGATCTATTATCTGGATGGATCAGATAGATCAGATCCATTGGAGACATTGGAGACATCAGATCTAGATGAGATCTATTATCCGGATGGATCAGATAGATCAGATCCATTGGAGACATTGGAG